GACCGAAGTGTTGCGACACCAATAGCTTCAGTAGATCGCGAAGAAGGCGTTGTTGGTAGTTGACAGCATTGAGCGCGAACACGAAATTGCCAGAACTTTTTAGTCACCTGGTGTGGTGCTAGCTGATGTGGTGCTTTTAGCCCCTGTGGTTTGACTATGCGAAGACTTTGATTTGAAACTGGCTTTTATACTTATCTCGAAACTCTTATTCCGCGTATACCTCGTGAATGTACAGAATCGACGTCTTGCGAAAATCGATGACAAAAAAGTTAGGAATCTATTGATGCTGCTTGTCCTGAGTCGCGGATTCTACACATTCACGAAGTATGAACCCAGTCTCAGTGATCGTAGATCAGTTGGTTTCCACAATAGCAGTAATCACTTCCTTCTTAGGCTCTCGAGCACACTCCAGAGGCATATTTCCCAGTTCATATGTTGTACATAAAAATGGAAATTAACGGTCACCCGGTGAAGGCTTTCGTTGATTCTGGTAAGCTTATTGCTGTCTGCTAACACAGCTGAAACATCGCTCGTCGTACTAGATATGTCGCACAGTACAAGATTCGAGTTAAATTCCAGGAGCACAGGTGTCAATTATGTCGGAAGCATGTGCTCAGCGGTGTCAATTGTCCCATCTCATTGACAAAAGGTTCACAGGCACGGCGAGAGGAGTGGGAGGAACCCAGAAATTTGTTGGAAAAATTCACTCTTGTGCGTTTTTCCTCGTCGGTAAAAAGATTCGTATTGCTTCATGAATATTTTGCAGGCCAGGTAAAAGTGCAGGACCACTATTTTCCTTGCAATTTTGACGTGATGGCCGATCGTGAAATGGATCTTTTGTTGGGTCTGAACATCCTGAAGCGACATCAGTGTAATTTGAACCTCAAAACTAATATGTAAGTGCTTTTCCTTGAGAATTCCTTAAACCTCTTCTTTTCATATTTTTTAGGCTTGAGATGGGTGACGGAACCATGACACCTTTCCTCTCTGAGGCAGAGATCAATACGCATTTGGAAGACTTGGCCTCAACAAGTATGTCCTTTGATTACTTTAGTACATCATCATAATGTTGAAGCCTACACCTCTACTTTCATAGTTTCGAAAGTTTTGGGCTCCGACGTATGGTCTGCTTGCATGTGGATGAAGGGGCATGTCCGGCGAGATAGGTTTGACGCCGCGCCGAACCCGTCAAGTCTGACAAGTTCCTTCATTGGTTGCAAGAGAATTTCTTGCCAGATACGACCCCACTCAAATTTCAACTCCAGTACGCCCCCCCCCTCCCTTGCGCCCCGCATGCACCACAAC